ATTGTAATTAATAACTTCTTTGATTTTGCAGCTACCAGACATAGCTAATTCCAATACTACCTTCAATGTACCAACCTGCAAGGTACATTGTTGGTAGTATTGGCATTAGCTATACTTAGGATTATCTGTAGACGTTAGTAAAAAAAAAAATATACTAGGATCCAATTTTCAGATGGCGTTTCAAATTGATTGGCATAAATTTTTGACGAGTGGCAACTCTTATCCCCTATACTTATTATTACTCTTTGGTATCAAATATTCGTTCGTTTAGCCCAAAAACTGTACTGTAGACCCGCTGTCTTCGGTGTTGAAAAATTGACACTAGATTGTCACTTGTCAGCGTTGTCACAATACATGTTTAGTAAGGTGTACAAAACTAAAATAACTAATATTAATCAAAAGAAGAGAATAATAATAATCAACTATAAATTTTATCTGATACATTAAAACAAAATTGAATGATATTTCATTTCATACACTTAACTAAAAACGAAACTGGTGATAGTGCTCAATGATTGATGTTTTTCATTAATCATTTGCATGGACAGTAGAATGTTCGCACATCCCTATTTTATTTTGACAGGAAAGTCATAGACAAATAATAACTGTCAAAGATCTGTCTTATTGTCGCAGGGCCATTAATTTGAGGTTACTTCCTTTGAATTATGCTGAGAATTCTTGCATTTATTTAAAAATAGTCATTATTCGTATTAAAGTAGGCGTTAAATATCAAATTTAGTAACAATGGCTACTGTATCTAGTGCACCGGCGCCAGGGATGCATCAAATTGATTTATCCAAGCTTAATTTACAGCAGTTGGCTCAACTTAAACAACAATTGGATCAAGTAAGTTTAAAAACACACAATGGATGTGCTTTAAAATATAATACGACACCTTTGCACGTTTTTTCACACCAAATTGACTGTGTACCGTTTGATTATCTATTCTATAAATTTACTAGGTTATGCATGAGTAAGTCCTATAAGAATTTAATTTATTTTTTAGGAAATGTCTGTATTTCAAGATTCATTGCATACACTGAAGGTAGCTCAAGGGAAATTTATGGAATCTGGTGAATGTGTTGAAAAAATGACTCCTGAATGTAAAGGCAAGAGCATACTGGTACCTTTGACTGGATCTATGTACATCCCTGGCTCAATAGCAGACACTGAAAACGTTCTGATTGATATAGGAACTGGATATTATGCACAGAAAGTAAGTATTTATGTAAAATTTATTGTACCTTAAGTTTTTCTTTATATTTGACTGGCCAATGTTTAACCACTATATTAAATTAAACCGTTGAAAATTGTTGAAAATCATCCCCTAAATTTGTTCAACAAAAGTAGTCTCTAAACATTGGAAATAAGGTCTATAATGTTAACGGGTTAAACCAATTATTTATTTAATTCAATCATATTTATTTATTTAATTTAAAATAAAATATCTTACCATTTCCTTTTCAGGATATTGCTGGTGCTAAAGACTATTTCAAGAGGAAAGTTGCTTTTGTATCGGAACAAATGGAAAAAATAAAAGCTTTAGGTGTAGAGAAATCAAAGGTTCACAAAGCTATTTGTATGATGATTGAGATGAAGCTGCAAGCCCAGATGCAGGCAGCAAAGCCTTCAACCTCATAAATATATTATTATATACTTTATAAGAAACAATTGCTTTACCATTTTTGTCGCCTTGGGATATTTAAGCATTAGAATCTTGGCATTTACACCACTCAGCATAAACAGGGTTGTTCTAATCACAAATTTGTATGAAATTATTATCTAAGTATGAGCAGATACTAAGATTCACACTAACAAAATGTTTCACAATTATTGATATCTATAACAATATGTTTTGTATGTAAAACACCCATTTTGACTAAACTAACCAGAGGTTCTTTTGTTCTCATTTAAAAATAATTTAATTTTTAAAATAAATACAAGTTTCTATTAAAAAAAAATGGTCTTTGTATAAAAAATATGTAACAATGTTTAGTTAAATGATCACTACTTTGTTAACCTCTCTATTTCACATGAGCTAGTTTGATAAATAAATTAATATCAGTATTCTTTATTTATTTTAATTCAACATTTATACTTACTCATTCTGGCTGTTAATTCTTTTTTGTTCGGTAGACTTACCAAAAATGCATAAACAACCTCCTTAGATAGATCTTAAAAAGGGAAGGTTCAAAATACCCAAAACAGGTAGAGATCTAGCAAGATTATCTTAAGATTTATTCACATAGAAGAATTAAAATCAGTGTGCAAATTGGTTTTGATAGCGCTTTGTAGTTTTTTCTGTAGGTATGGATTTGTATGACTTTATGTATGTACCATGTGGGTGTGAGTTAATGTGCCATACCTGCAGGTACATAAGGGTAACATTAAGAAGATACCATTTTAGTTTAATCAATATTGATTATACTGGTTCTCAATTTGTCTTATCATCTCATCATCATCTTTTAATCATCAATTTAAAGAGGTTTTTTGTTATTTTCAGATAAGCACCTTACTTTACGTTACTTAGGTACCTATTTGTTCTATGCTAAATGTATCTCATCTCATCCATATTTTTTGTAGAAATTAAATATCTCTGATCTAGATCAAAGACTGAATAGTGGTCAAGTCCAGTAGTTAGAATATTGGACTTATGAAGGCTTATTGTTTCATTTTTTAGCTAACTTCAAAAAAATTAGGTTATCAGCTTTAGCACTTATGGAGGAGAATTTTAGAGCTTTAGAATGAGGATAAAAGGAATTGAGAATAAAAGTAGACAACATTGTGACACCAAATGATTTATTTTTTTAATAGGCCAAAATGATAGAGCTGATGATATCTACAATAATAATGACTTACAATAAACTATCTTATAATGTATCTACAGTATGTCTTATAGTCACAAAACAATATAAACTAAATAAGGCAACGACTATTCCTTAAGGTTGTAAACAGTTTCTATTATTATGTGTCGTAAAATGAGATTTTTTAATTTAAATTTCTCTTATGAACACGTGAAAAGGTGTTTGGATACAAGATAAAGTTTTAATAGTTTGTAAAAATGTACAATGATATTTTTAAATACGATTTCTTTTACTTTACATCAACAGTATGCATTAATCCTCATAATTATGTATCAAACAATTAATTTACCAATCGGAAAAACTGCTATATTTCATTTACGGGTATTTCCACTTTGCTCCTCTAAGTTTACCACCCTGATGTGGCAAGATGACCGCCAAAAATTTTACAGTGGTATTAGCCCCATCTATTCTGATTTGATTGGACAGTCAACAATAATCTATAAAGAATTTATGCTAGTGTAAACTGCTCTATCAAATTAGAAAATAGGACAAATTCCATTACAAAATATAGCTGTCTACTTTGCCACACAAGTGAGACGGACTTGGTGAGGTAAAGCGGACCACTCTTCATTTACAATAGTTTTTGATTAACAATTACACAATTGCGCATTTATATTTTTCTGTAATTAATTTCAATATCTATTTTTACGCATCAGAGTAAAAATTTAGATTTATAATTATCTATTACAATAATTAATTAGGACAAGTATTTATGTACAATTTATTACATTACATCATTTATTATAGCAACTATAATATAACCAACTTATATCGGATTAGGATTAGTCGTGGATACCAATGTAATACGACATCGCCTTGGGCGAACACTTCGAGTTCAACAGTCAACACCATAACCCTTATATTAAACGTTCCATACACAGTATTATGAGTAAACTTACACGAACAGATCACTCGCCTGCTCGGCGAAGTCCTTATCTCAAATGGTGTAATATTCTGGAGCAAAATCATTTGCAAGATTGCTGAGAAAATGGAAGTCAGAGGATGAATTGGAGTTGTCCCCGGCAGGCGCGGCGTGCGTGGCCTCGTAGAACTGCTGGAACGAACCGTAGCCGTCGGCGCACTCCGCGCCACTGTAAGCCTCGCCCGCCGCGCCTGCCGCCACGGCCTGCGCACTTGCTGCCCCGTATCCTGCAGCTTGCTGTGGGTAAGCGTTCCCATCATAATAATTCTTTGAATAATCTGTTCCGTGTGATGCTTTCTGTCCTTCAGTAGCGTAGTAGTTATGACCGTGATCATGTTGAGTACCTTCGTGGTAATGGTAGCCATAATGACTGTTTGCATAGCCCATATGCTCTCCAGTGTAACCCTGCGATTGATCATAACCAGGATGACCGTAAGCTACTTGATCTTTCCCATACCCTGGATATCCATAATTTTGATACATTTCGTGAGGGTACGCTTGCCTCGATGTTATACCGTTAGTAGCCCTCGTGGAAGGAGAACCTTCCTGTCGAGTATGCTGCTGATTTCGGACGTAACCGTGTTGGTCAGCTGATTGTATTGCTGCACCATATCCTTCATAGTTTCTGTTACCTTGAGGATATTGTGTGAGCTTTCCAATAAATTGTTTGGAGTCCATTCGAAAGTCAGGGTGTGGTACAAATTGTCCAGGTGGCGCGTTACCGCGGATAACGTAGGGAGGCATTGCATTGGGCACAGATTGGGGGTGCGGCGGCCCAGGTGGAGCATTTGGAGGTGATGGTCTAGGATAGTGTCCCAATGGACTTGGATGCATACTTGAGGGAGTCCCTGGCGTTGAAGAAGGTGTCAAATTTACCGAAGAGAATTTCCCATTATCCGAAAGACCGACTACAGGGCCAAGGCCGTCTTTAGAGGATGATGGCGAAACTTTACACGTCGTGTCCAATGAAGGTGATCGCTTCCTGGATTCTTGTTTAATTCTCTTTGTCAAATTTCGAGGAGCAGCAGTCATTGCTGTGATTGGAGGGTGTCCGTCTCGTGAATCTTCTTCGGCAAGTTTGTCCAAAGAAGAAGACGAAGCCACGCTGGAGGCACCGTCACTCGCGAAGCTGTTGTTGTTGGTGGCACTTGGCGTATTGTTATTTCGTGTGCGTGACGCTAGCTCCGGTAGATCTTCAGCTGGAGAACAAAGAGCGCCGGGCGGTAGTTCGCATCCTTGACAACTCTTTTTACCAGATAACGGTCCGTCATCATCCAAAAATTTGTCGAGCCCTGTTTTGGAACTTTTTCCACCTTCTGAAGTAGTGGAGTCTTTGTCATCACCGTCTTCTGTCTTGCTAAGCGTTTGCCTTTTGTGCTTCATTCGTCTGTTTTGGAACCAAACTTTGACCTGTCGACAAACACAGAAAATGAAATTAAATTCAACTAAAATTATATTTACAAGTGACAAGTATTTATAAAATTAATTTATTTGGCGATATCGAATCAATGTTCGTTTATGCTGCATGAGTCATTGAAATTATGAATGCACAAATAATCCAATAGATGGCGCTACACATCAGTTAAAGAGGGATTTTGAGAATTCAAATACAGATGCGAGAGCCGCGAGAGGTAACTTAGTTGACTTAGCAACAACACGTCGTGTCGAGGGCTTTGGGCTGCTTACGTAGGTGATTCTATTACCTAATTACCTAATAATGTCCCGAATACCCCGCGCAGTTTCCAATCGCCTACATTAATTTTGTTGTTGATACAATACCTGTCTTTCAGTGAGGTCTAGCGAAGCTGCTATCTCAATTCTTCTCGGCCGGCATAGGTACTTGTTGAAATGGAACTCCTTCTCCAATTCCAATAGTTGTGTGTTCGTGTAAGCAGTGCGCAGCCGTCGCGGCAATCCATTTTCTGTAATCAAAGTAATCGAACTCAATAATTGCTCTAGAGTGCTTTAAAACTATTCCATTAATGTTTTACAGCTTTAATTTTGCCCCATAAAATATGAACGGCACGCTTCGAATTAAATGTTATAGAATGCTATTCCTGGAAGCTTTCAATAACATGGCTGTGGGCCGGCTCGCGGCTCGCGGGTACGCTTTCCTTTAATGTAATAACTTGATCGCATGTCAGAGCACCGCCCTTGACGCCATTGTGTCGAAACGCTGTTCTTTTTATTTTACCACAAAATACGAATTGGAATTCGAAATTCAAATTACAAAAGGGCGGCGAATAATGGGGCGATCGCGTTCGCGTGATGGCTCGGCCGCGGGGCTCGCGATGTCATCTGTGCACTGGTTGTGGGCCTTGTGTCATTCGCGATAAGGGTTATAATGTGGTGTTGGTTTTGTTGATAAGGTGGGGTTGGTTCGTGTTTGATTGACGTGTTCGTCAGGTCTCGCCGTTGCTATTGGACAAGGGCAGCTGTCAATCAAACCTAACGCAGCCCTTGGTTCTGCTTGGCTGCACTGAGGTAAATGCTGCTTTTAATTTGTAGGAGCGTACAATAAAAGGGAATATGAAATTATTTACTTGGTAGGTAAAGATTACATAACTTATGTTAAAATACCGTAGAATAAAATAATCCCCAGAATTATGTGCACGCGTATACCAGGATGAATGTGCGAAAGATGCAAGTTGGTAAGTTTTTGCGCTACGGTATAATAAGCATGATTATGCGGGCTCGAGAGTTCGTATAATGTTCGCATTATCTACGTGTACACTTCCGAACCACTGAACAACCATTTTTGATGGTCGTGTCCCCTTATTTTCCTATTCTTGGTTGTTGGTACTAAGCTTCATGAATATTTGCTTCAATTCCATCGTTGGTGTTTGACGGATCATTGAATTTGGTTGTCCAATAGTGTTGGGATTTTATTGCCAAGTATTGTGTAAAATGTCCCTTTTCTTCAAGGAATTTTGGTCATGTTAAGAGGAAAAGAAAGAACCTATCATTCAATTAGATTCTTCGCTTTTATAAAGAAAAGTTCAACATGTAGTTTGTAAAGCCGGTTTAAAATTAATAAATATCTAAGCACGCACATCAATAACAGGTCGCTCAATCAATCACGATCAGCTATTTAGATTTTATTTTTGCATACTCCCACGCTGCCGTACGAGCCAATCTCAAAGGTCGGACGTATTAAATTATGAAGGAATGTAAATATTTCTTTATTGCGCACCCCTGTCTTGTCTACAGCATGTAGGTAACAAATGATTGCCAAGTAGGTTGTTTAACCCTCCGGTCGCGGACAGGGTACGTTGGACCGAAGATTTACTGCGGATTAGGGGTCACTACATCGGTCAAGTCAAGAGTCCGGTTGTCCGCACTTAATTTGATAATATCACTGTACCCCGTGTTCGAATTGAATTATTACTTTGTAAGCGAGAGTTGACTTCTGTAAGTCATTTTTAAGTCAGCATATTATGAAAATTAATTGTTGTTTTTATAAATTAATTGAATAAATTGCAGTTTATTTCACTCCACACACCATAATGTAAAAAACAAAATTGAAAAAACTTAATACTTTCATGCCTAGCCTACTTATTTACACACAACAGGGACAGGGATTTCATATGGGAAAATCAACGCGCAACCTACAACGTTAGACAAAACAGGTAACCGTAAAGCTAAACATTTGATCCCCGACGTGTAAATGTAATGTAACAAGCAGTTGTAAACAATTTGCGGAGTTGCCGAGAGCACTCCCTCGGGCAACTTTAAATAATTAATCAAGAGCTGGTAAAGGATTAATGCGGTGGCCAGTTGGTGGTTGGATGCCATTAGAGATCGTTCGATGCCCCTGCGAGGGCCGGAGAGACTAAATGCTGCGGTCACATTATTTGTGTCGGAGGCGCGAGGTATCGAGGGTTACTACTGCTTAATTGGTTTTCTTAACATGTGGATGTGACATGGAATTGCTGTAAAATATTCTAATAAGCTGGATTAAGTTTATCAACAAATTAAATTTATTTGCAGTAATTCTAAAGAATAGCTGACTGAGAATAAATGCATGGAGTCTAAATTAGAGTCCTAAGTACTATCATTCAAACAAATAGTTTCTCATGTCATGAAACAAACTAATGTTTCGAATAGTAGAAAACAGTGCGCTAAAACGCAAAAGATAGAGGTAGCCGTTAGGTGTATACAACATACTAATAACGTTATTCACACATGCGGATTCTGAAAGTAAATACAAGTTTGACAATAAAGTGAGTGTAAGCACCAGTCGTGTGCCACACACTGATGCTGATGATAAAGTACCAAACATTTATTTTGAATGTTGCTACTGCAACGGAAAAGTTACCGCGCGAGGGGTTCCCACCAAGAATTATTACGTTATGAGGTGTGAAAGGCATAAATGTAAAAATTCAATATTTCAAAAGAAAAAGCCAAAATTTTTCCACAATTTCTTGCCAGTAACAATGTCGTTTGACGCGATATGGGGAAAATGATCCGGTGTGATATTACTTTGTTTACTTGCAAGATTAAACAAAACACATACTCGTGTAAAACGTTCGAGTTTGATACGATCGTCGATACTACATTAAGCGTAACATGAACTACCTGAACTATAGAAATAAACATAGTCAATATTGATGCTGGATGCTTATAGAAGTAACTCAATTATTTTTGACAAACAAGTGATCAAATGAGACAAAAGACTGTCGCCAAAGTAAAGTTTATCTTCCGTCAAAATAAATGGTAAGCAATCCAGTCGGTTATCAATTTGTAGTCGAGTGTGTCAATGTCGCAACAATCGATCATGTTGTGTCGGATTTGTATTTTTCCGATTAGCCGGCTGTATCGGGTCCCTGTTTGACATTGTCGCATCAATTATAAGCGTGGATTACTCTGAGACAGATCTAAGACGGTTCAATTTCGTTTCGGTGCGGGGAAGTACGGCGGGGCTCCGTTCTCCGTGAAGGGTGATATCAGGAAGTGACTCGAGATTGCCTTATCAGGGCTTGATGAAGGCCTGATGTTACCCATTATGCACGCTTCGGAAAGATCCGCTCGTGTTTCGATGTAAGCTCTTTTAAGATAAGTTTACTTGAACCTTTTTCTACTTAAATTCTTACTTTTAGAGAATTGAACACTCTGTCTGTGTTCTGATTTTCAATATGCTGCAATTTTTAAACTCACGGTTTTGATCAAGAAAAACGGGTAACAAACTAATAAACTATAGTTTAATATCGGTGTCTACGCCGTAGCGCGTAGCACGTAGCGTGCTACGTACGTAGTATTTGGATAATTAAAGTGGTATTCAGAAACAGGTACTTCCACCCTTTAGGAAAGTTTGCGTTCACGTTAAGTTTGTTGGAAATGTAACGAGTGTCGGATTGTGCTGGTCCCAAATCCATTTGGGTGATACAGAAGGTTATTAAAAGTTGTCGTTCAGACAGGCGGCGCGAGTTTGGAGCACTTTGACAGCCCGTCCCCGGGGAATGCGGTTCGATTCCGACGACTAGGAAATTTCATTAATCCCGTTATTAAGAAGTTCTATTTTCCTAATCGTTTGTTTCAAGTTTTGAAATTGTTTTGTTTTGGTTTTACGGCACCTAGCTGGTTGTTTATGTAAACATAGGCGTATAGCAATAGACATATTTTTTTACGACTTATTAACATTTGGTAGGATTAAAAATAAAAAACGCAACCCTCTAACCTTAAAAACAAACATGGAGCGACATTTTTCGTTGACTTATTGCGACATTTACTATCTTTATTAGCCGGCCGATGATAAACTCTACGGGAATATGCAAAGCGTTTTAAGACTGGCGGTATTTAATTGCCCTTGAAAGGGGGCGACAAAAAATAAACGATGCTCGGGTATAAATAACCGTGCACTTTTCATAATCGCAATTGTCGCCCGGAGAATATTTAGTGCGCCGTAAAACTCGGCCGATTGCGATCCTTGGGGATGCGTGGGGTAGGTTAATAGTATGAGGGAAGATTCTTAACGAGATGCAAGTGCAAGGCCTTATCGACTCCTTAAAAATGACAGGTACCTCGATGTCTTATTGGATGGGGTGGCGAAATGTTTATTGACGTCGACGTTACGTGTTGATTTGATTTGAAATGTCAGAATCATGATTAATGGCTTTGTTACGTTTACGAATCACGTGTTACTAATTGAAATTAAAAACTTACTATTTGACCATAACCTGGGAAAGAACTGTGCTCTTTATGGTCACCATTAGACTGCACGGTTGGTGCGGTGGCTGGGCAACCGGCTGCCGTGCAACGTGTCGCGGGTTCGATTCCCGCACGGAACAACACTTTGTGTGATCCACAAATTGTTGTTTCGGGTCTGGGTGTCACTGTGTATGTGAACTTGTATGTTTGTAAACGCACCCACGACACAGGAGATAATCCTAGTGTGGGGCAACGTTTTTTTTAAAAAAAAAAAAAAGAACCATTCGTGCTATCGAGACAGCTATTGTGTTTGTTGTATTGCAGTTTAAAGTATTTTATCGAAAATTTCGCCAACCGTTCATAACAAAACCAGTCATTTTGTTTAGATTTAAAAGCAAGATTAACTTGATACAAAATTTCCTTGAGAAAATAAATTCGTTAACGTTAACTTAATTCGTATTTTCCATAAACAGTTTAGAAACAAAGACAGCGGTTTATAGGAAGTTAAAACCCACAAAGAAGCGGGGAAGGCAGGCGGCGGGGAATAAATTTTATTTATCAAATAAAAAGGATGGTTCGCTCGTTTTTCACCGCTACAGACATTATCGCTTCTTTTAATTATTATCCCGCCGATATTTATGCGAAGTACACTATGCCTCCTCTCGTACTTGCCCGATGCGTAACGCAAAAAATTAGGGTTCCGTAGTGCCGTTATAAATCCCACCCTTAAATGGTGCGACTATTAAAAGTAGATTTCCCCCGGAGCCCTCCACAC